TTATTAAATTTTGTTAATTTTTTTACTTAATTCAAATCAGAATCGAAAAAGTTAGTATTTTTATGGAATATTCATGTAAATAGGTTTACTTAACAAAGAAGTAAATGAAGACCATAAGTGGACTAAATAAAATAAACTGACATAACATAATCAGGAAATGCGACACTACAGCCAAATTTTTGGTCAAATCTTTTGGTGGGTATATATGTAATGCCAATCATTTCTAACATCTGAAAATTATTTGGTATGAAATAATATTTATATTTTAGTTTACTAAAGAAACAGCTCTTTTTGTCCAATAAGTGTAATTATTGCCAGAGAATCTCACAAAGCAAAAAAATAAGTCATATAAACATAAAATAAACTATATACGAGAGAAAAGGACAAATTATTACTAAAATGGAATTGCCGAAATATATATATTTTTTTTGCTTATTCATCATATATAAACACATTCTTTCTACTTTTTATCAACCAGATTCGATCGGTAGAGTCAGCTGCTTAATCATGTGACTTAATTTATATAAAAAAAAAACTGATTAGGGACCCAAAATCCCATGTTACAATTTTAAATTTAGCATAAAGCCTACCTAATATCATGCCGTCCCTCTATTTTGTTTACTAACTATTGCCTCTGATCTTGTGGTGGATTAATTTTATATACTGGTAACATGAAAATATTCGAACATTTATTTTCTCTCAACTGTTATCTGTGGATTACTGCGTGTTTGACCAACATCTTGTTATGTTATTGAAACTGATGATCCTCAAGGTTAGGGGTGGGGGCTGCTCGTATCTATTCATCACATAAACTAAACAATTTAAAAACCAAACTATTTGTTTCTTTCTCTTAGAAAATTACGAATATCAATAATATGGTACGTAATGAGTAACGTAATATGACAACTAATTTTATATTGAAAACCCATAGTATTCAACATATAAAACTTAGCAATTTTGAATCCGACTATTCACGGATCAGTCAGGGGCAATATATATTTTCATCTATTCGTTTCATTCAATTTATTTTGAAAACACTTTCACTTCTATTTGTTCAGTCGAAAATAGTGTTACATTTTAAATTTATTAAAAAATTCGGTGAATGGAATACTCGACGGCTACACTCATTTTTGGGGAATTAGTCGGATAGTAAAAATCCAGATCATCACCTATGATTGAATCTAGTTTGTTTAGAAAGAATTTTTTTTTTTTCTTAAGAAGTTAATAGTGGATTTTTAGCTCAAGATAGAAAATGATACAACATGGAATACTAGCTAGTATACAAAT